GTAGCTCTAGACGCCGAAGCTTTCGCGACGCGGACGCTCGCGGGATGAACGGCTCCTCCATCCGTCTGGAAACGTCGCTTAACGCGACGAGTGTCGTTCAATTCGTGCACGAGTCGCTCGAACCTATCCCGAACGGATGATGTTCCGCGAGCTGGCAACATTTTCGAGGAAAATTTCGTGTACAATGTTCTCCTCTCGGACTCAATGGGCGCTTTTCAGGCTGATACGAGGTTACGGTGAGCCGAGGAAACGGTGCATGCAGACGCACGGACGGATCTCCTTTCCTTTTCTCTTCTTCTTCATTTACTTCGGTTCACCTTTCGGGTTATTATGTTGGGTCGGAACGGGGAACGATGGTTCCCGACCCTTTGCGCTCGAAAGTTTTTCACTAGAAATGTTCGACGTTTTCTGGTGAGACGTAGACATTCTTTGATGCTAATGAGAAAGTGTGTATATGGATTAAGGAACAGAGGTATTTCATTCGATGCTGCGCGGAAGACTTTAAAATTTCGCTGCATGAAACACGGTGATTTAGAGTCACCTCCCGAGTGTAAAGGATTAAGATCGATTCGAGGAATAAGGATACCGTCGACCTGTTTTTCGGTCGAGACGAGATTTTTGCTGTCGGCGATGTTCGTGTAGGCTTGCAAGTGAAAGCGGAGTTTCTTTTTTTTTCCTAATGAATTATTGAAGATAATATGCTTTTGGTGCGCGACTGCGAAAGAAATCGTTCGGGGGATTAATCGGATGGCGGAGCAAAAGATTGATGCAACTGCTCGGATGCTGCGGTGAACGCGTGCTCGGTGTTCGCGAGAGTATCGGCCGCGCGGGTTTCGTTTGGAAATTGTAATTTCGTTATGTTAGCTGGAAAATCACTCACGTGATCGATGTTGATCTCTCCTTTGTACATGAACTCGACCAAAACTTTGATATCCGAGAATTTCACGTCGCGCATTATGACAATCGGGTCCTTCTCCTCGTACTGCGACAGGATCGTGTCGAAGTACGTGCTGCACGCAGACAGGACCACCTGGAACAGTTTCATTGGTTCGGGAATCTTAGTCAGATCCTTCTTTAAATGTCAGCTGAAACGACGGAACTGTTAATCGATTAGCGAAACATATTTTCCACATCAGGTTACTTACTTAAACACATTCTGCACGAATCATCGCGTTTCGCGCTCGACGCATACAAATATAATGATTGACTCGAACTCAAAAGAAAGAAATAGACAGTGCACAGATTATACGAAGGAAACTTTCCCTCTGGATCATCACTGAATAACCAGGGGTGAAACCGCAACCCCCCGGAGGGAGAAATTTCTTTGACAACTTCGCAGACGGCGATGACTCCGACCGGATCCTTGCATATCAATCTTTCTGGGTATATATTGTAACTACCGCTACATCCACACTTTAAACCTATCGCAAAACTTCAAACTACACACTGAACATTCAATTCTCTCCAGACACTACGACCAAATTAATCTTAACTCGATTCTAACTCAAACAATTCATTTGTACAATCTGGTCAAAACAGACCCAGGCATCGCAGCAAGACTCATACAGTTTCGAGCTTAACTCTTAGCAGTCCTATGTCGAGTCAGACGTGACATTCTATTTTATTGCAACCTCTACCGGTTTTAACCATTTTTTCTATATTTATTTGTAGTATCACAATCGTACCATTTAAAGGTAATATCTTAATGACTCCCAAATATCCTTGAATAAATAAATAGAGCGTCATATTCACCGTTTGACTTATGTTTTGCCAAAATTGCGAAGAGCGCGGTAGCGCTCCTTTTTTGTTCGTTCAAAATTAATTTGCTCTATTTGTAAAAAGGAAATTCACGCGCTTTGCATAGCAAACCACTCGTGTAAAGGATCATAAAAAACTATTTCTGTTAATTTGAGTGAATTATAAGTGCTATTTACTAATTTCACCCACAAACATTAAGCTGTAATTGAATGAACTATCGTCGACGCGAACCTCAAAGTGAGAAACCAAGAGCACTTCGGACCGCAAAGGGTTAAAGAACAGAAAACATAGGAAAACAAAGTAGACGAACATATTGGGAACACTGTAAGCATAATTGAATCGAACTTTTCTATCGGACAGAAACAAAGTATCCAAATTCCCAAGTGGAACGGAAGGGACACCAGAAAAAGGGTTGCCAGCGAAAGTTTCGGAGCTTGCGGGGAGGAGAAGCACGCGAAAAGGAGCGGAACCGGTTCGGCTCGGGCTAAACACAGGCAACCTTGACAATCGTCCGAGTTCAAGGGACACGGCGGAGGGGAATCGAGGACGCGGCCGTAATTAAGGACTCGGTTTAATCCGCGGTCTCTAATAAGGGCACACGACGTCACACGTCCGTCATGATTAATTAAGACCGGGTGATTCGCGGCTCGCGAGTCTAGCCCAGACTCCGCGGTGCCCTGGTGCACCGATATAGATCACGCTGGATCACGGACCGCGCGCGATCGAATTCTTAAGCGACGCTTCCCAAACACCGTCGATAAAATATGTATTTCCGCCTCGACGCTGCGAGCCAGCTAGTACGTGCAGATCTGTCATGAAAGTCAATGAAGCACTCGACGAACAGGCTACTCTCCGGGTCCACGGCCGCTGGGATTTTTTTTTCTGACGCTAAAGTCTCTTGCACACTTGCCCGGTCCCTGTCGTGTCGGACTGAGCAATGGATTTTGCAGATTCGGTGGTTTCAAATATCTGTATCGCGTTTGAGAGTGTAGGTTGATCGTCAGGGATCGCGGTGTTTAGTGGTAGAGCACTGTTAATAGGTTTGCGACGGAGTGTACTCCGTTTTATCGTTAAGAATGATTGAATTTGGACGCAGGTTTGATCTAGAAGCGAATGGAATATTAAAGGACATCGCTTCGGCTAGGGTTCACGAAGATTTCCTATGGGGTTGATCGAGTGATCAAAGCGCTGAACCAACAAGGAGGGTGCCAGGTCTCTTCGCAGATGTGGTTGCAGTTGCAGTGGCGCTCGCTCCCTACTTCAACTCGACTGTGCCTCGAGCATCCATTGAAACTTCAATCATGAATATCTCGAGAAATATTGAGGAGCTAATCCTACAATCGGGTATTCTCATAAACGCAACAGCGGAATCCGTGTGCCGGGTGTGTTAAATCGGCGAGCTAATCTAGATTTCATCAGACCTAACTTTTCTAAATTCCAATTTGTAGACACCAAGACTTCTAACTTAAAGACGAAAGATTCGATTCTTACGTTTCTCCCGAAGTAAACACTTGGGATCGACGATAATTGGTAGAAATTTCTCTCCAATTCCAGCGTAACAATCGGTGAAAATAGAATTCGTCTAAGCGTCTGGATCTACTCGCCGTCCCCGAATGAAAGAGCGAGCGCACAAAGACGCCGAAACCGTCTCTTCAAAGGCCCGCCGTGTGAAAGCGGCTTAAAACGGTCCAGCGTCCGTCGCACCCGTGCACACGGACGCACGGACACGCGAGCACGGGCGTTTAAGCCCCGTCGATCGACCGGTACTTCTGTCAATCGCGATTTTATTTACCGACACGTCGTTTATAAAGCGACACATCCTCCGTCAGTATCCCGTCGACCGGTTTTCATCGTTAATTTCGCTCCCATCTATTTTTCCACGGTAATCTGGTTACCGTGTAATGGAGACTCGCGTACGGAAAGCCGAAGGCTCGCGCGCGCACGCGCGCGCTCGTCACTCAACGAATTAACGTTCCGTTCCGAAAATCGTCGCGAGCGAGCGGCGAATATCAATGAAACTGAAAATGAGAAAAGGAGGGTAAAAAAAGGGGGTCAATGAATCCGCCGGATTTCGCGCGCCGGAATTAACAGTCGAATTTGCGACGGGGTTAAGCTCCGATCGGAAGGGATCGCCGTTCATTCTTGGAACAACGGGTCCGCGGACCGTTCGAGCCCGCCGGAGCCGAACAAAAGCGCTTAAATTCGAGCATCACTGACATCTCCATTAAACAGCGTATAAATCGGCCCGATTCTCCGGCACGAATTTATTACTCCGTTTATTAGTTTGTTTGTTATCGGGATTCCGTATCGTCCCGTAAATCAAACGGGGGCCTCGGGGTCCGGCTTTTGTCAGCGACTATCGACGAGCTATCGCGGCCAGCTCCGGAAAACCGTCGGCGACGCGGAAAAATCACTCTCTTCCACCGACGAAGAAGCTTCGCTTTCCTCCCTACGCTCCGCGGATTCCGACGGGAACGCTCACGAGCCCGCGAGATCAACGTGCGCTCTTCATCTTGGCGTCTTTGTAATTTTCTTTAGGATTCAGACAAATCGTTCGGCGTCTCTTGCCTTTCTTCTTGTTAGGAATATCGGATTTTCCTCTGGTTTTAGATGTTTCTTGGTGAGATATGTGTGTTATTTGATTGGTGCCATTCGACAGAGTTCAAAGGTTCCGGTAATATCGTACGCGTCGAAGGTTTTCGTTTAGAGTGATTTTATTTGGGAGCCTGGTGCCTCGTCTGACTCGATGTTGGCGCATTCCCCTTACCGAGCAATAACGAAGAAATACGGGTGAATTTATTTCTATATAATTCCTTCGAGTTGATGCATAATTGTAGGTTTTATTTCGGTCGGACATCCAAGTTGGATAGTTACACGTGAGGACGGATTTTTTCACCCGCGCGCGATTACTTTTTCCAATGTTTCCACGGGTTTTTCATTCCTCCCTGTTTTATTCAATCTCCGCAAACGCTCGAACGGTCGGGCGTATAATTAAGCAGAAAGTAAAATCGCTCCTGTCTATTCCAAAAAAAGTTCGCCCTTGAAAAGTTACAGTTCCCCGCTAAAATAAATCGCCGATCCGGAATTGCTCGGTCCCCGAATAGAGCCGGCGCGGAATAGTGAAAAGCATAATTAATCGGGAACTAAAGTCGTCCTTGTCTATTCCTACGAAGTTCGTCCTTGGGAACATTAGTCTCTCATTGAAATAAACTGATAACTCCGGAAAGCTCGGTCCTTAAATAGAGCCGCTACAAAATGGGTCAAAGTGAACGAGACAATTTTAGTCTGCACTGGCTCCGAAACCAACCCTTGTATGTCAATCCTGCCGCGTGCAATTTTTCAACAAATCGTTCGACAATTTTCTTCGAAGCACCAATCTTATCTTCAAATATTATCATCCTACATAATAACATTAACCCTTAGCAGTCCTACGTCGAGTCAGACTCGGCATTCTATTTTATTGCAACTTCTACCTGTTTTACCAATTTTTTCTGTATTTATTTGTAGTATCGCAATTGTACCGTTTAAACGTAACATTTCAACGACTCCGAAATATTCTTGAATAAATAAATAGAACGTCATGTTAAGCTGTAATTGGACCGCATAGGGTTAACGATTACACCATCAACCATTGACATCAAGGGAACGTTATTTTCCCAAGTAAAATTTTCATCCCTATTTCCTCCGGAATATAATATAATAGAATCTTAGAAAATACAACACTCCCTTCGAAAACGAGAAAAGTGAAATTTCCTTCGGTTGCGCAATTTAAACAAAATAACTTCTTACGACGCTGAACCCCAGAGCCTACGGATTCCCGGGTACCGTTTATGAATCAGCCAGTACAATCAAAACGAGACACACCCTCGCGAGCCCTGCC